AAGATGTCTTACTATTTTCTCTGATTATCTAAAAAGTTAGAACAATATACAAAGACTGTTATAACATTAAATAAATAATATAATATAATAATAAATTTTGAGATAAAATATAAACCCGAGTCGAAATTTGTCTAAGATCGGACCTGTTTTTTGCCGCTCTCAGCATAGCGGTGACTGGCAACGGTGCACTTCATTAAGACTCAGGATTGCCAATCGTACGGTAATTACCGTACTTGTAAGGTAATTTCGATTAATGTCCGGTATACGGTCCAAAGTCATTACCGTAAATAAAAGTACGGTATTAACATAAAAAGTACGGTAAACATACGGTATTTCCAACAGAATAAGCAAAGACTTTGAGTTGTGCAAGGACAGACTCCATTAAATTACTTATTGAAGATTACTATGACATTGTTCAATGTAAAAATGACATTTTAATCTTTTTACAGCACATGTCCTTCAAAGGCACCTGGTCTGCACAAAAATATAAGCCTGTAACGGTTGGAACCGTTTTCGTTATTTGACCCAGACCCGTTTTCGTTATTTTGAAACCAACATCTCTACACAAACGTTATTTGTCGTTTATGTCTAGTGTCAAAACTCACAATTTTATGTGGTTCAAGTTCGAATAAGAACAAACATGCATATATTATATAACGCTTATTTACTAATTTTCTTATCTTTATATACTAATCTAATAGGCAGTATATATTTTCTTATTTCTTTTTTATTAGCATTTTTTTACAGCGATATCTTGTGTTATTCATTGTATGATGGTGTAGATTCATTTTTTTACAATTTTTAATTTTCTTCTACGGTAACTGGTTTAGCAGTGGTATTGGGAGTGGAATGATTTTTGAAGGACCTTTTCTTGCAGTGACCTTTGATTACTGTGGATATCGGCGGGCAACACTCTTGAAAAGTAATCCATCGTTTCACCTCTTGTATCATTCTAGCTAGTTGCAATAAAGGGAGAGAATATGAAGTAGTAAAGAAAAATAAAAAAAATTTAAATTAAAATTTTTTTTTTTTTTACCCGGAAGTAGTGGGGTGTAACGGTTGGAACCGTTTTCGGTATTTGACCCAGACCCGTTTTCGTTATTTTGAAACCAACATCTCTACACAAACGTCATTTGTCGTTTATGTCTAGTGTCAAAACTTGGATTGTCATTTTTATTTTATCTGTCGACAAGCAACTTGATTATAGAATTTTAATTATCTATTATCATCCGATGTACTAGTTATCTTAAATATTTTTAATGACCATCTGATTTTAAAAAGGTAAGTTTCCTACCGATATTTTGTTGAAAATATATATTTAGTACAAGATTTGAATTTAAAATGTCAAATTTGAAACATAACCTCAACATGAAAACACATTGAAAATCACAAGAAATCATATGTTTTATATAATTTCCTATATTATTTTGTTTGAAATAGATAATATGCTTTACTATATTTATATATGTTAAATAAGACTTCTTCTTTTCCTATTAAATTCTAGTCTCTGTGTAACTATTCAAATAATAGTTTAATTTGTTCATTTGATAGTAAAAAGCATATTATCTGTTCCTAGATACTCTTTCCGGCTCCCTTCTTTATATTTTTACCTTTTTCCTTGTAGCCTTGCTGTATATAGATGGTCTTATGGCCTTAAAGAAATCCTAGAAGTTATATATATGGTTTAAGTGGATTTAGATGGTTCAATAGAAACTAAATCGAGGATTCAATAGTAGCTGTGTCTGCATGAATTTTGGAAGAACGTACAAGCTGCTTGTTGGGAAATTCAGAAGAACGTAGAATACATCAAGAAGTTAGTTCAACCACCGAGAGGAGTTAACAAGATTTAACACTACCTAGTAAATTCTCACAAGAAGGCCTCTATACTCTCTACAGTCACTCTTTAACTGTTTCCTGTGTACCTCCAGATAAGTTTGATTAAATCATTTAAATTTGAATAATTTAAGTCTCTGTGAATTAGAATTTGTCGCTACCTTATTTAATTATAATATCATAAAGATCAGTGATTTTCTATATGTTCATCAATGATCGATTGTCAAGTTTGGAAAGTTTTAAATATAGTGGCATCCAATATTCTCTTTCAAAGTCATATGAGTTGTTTAATAACCTAACCCACTCCCTCAAATCGTAGAGCTTAAAACACTATAAAAATTGATAAAATAGCAAGATCACATTACAAGCCAAGACCTTTTTTTTAGAAGCTAGGTACAAGGACCAGAGGATGATTAAAATAATATGATGAGGATCTTTTTGTTTAGAAACCCAACAAAAAGATTTACAGAATATAGTACAAAATAATAGTGTACGCTACTGGGAGGCCATGTACGGTAATTTGAATTGCGCGGTACGGTAAATAGAATTTGAAGAATTGGCAACTCTGTTAATACCTCACTCTGAATTCTCAGTGTGTCTCGCACTATAGGGACCGTGCGTGAAATATAGAGGCAGCACTACTGCCGAACTTAGCCCTCTCTAGTGTTTAATTTTAGAATTAAATGGGGTAAACATTTCAAGTAAATAATAAAGGGTATTTTTTTAAATATTAAATATTGTTAAAAATAGATAGCGGCCCGTACCAAACAATCGTGTACATGGTCAAAATGACGTAAAATGTGAAACATTATTAAAATCTGGACATGCATATACATTTTAAGCAAAAAGATTTAAATGGCTAAGTGACAATAAATTGTAAAGTTGTACCTTAAACAAGTGTATCCAATGTTAAAATATCGGTATTTAGTAACACTGAATTTAAAAGTATTACAATAACATTTAAAAAATGTAAATTAATAAAAAAGATTGATAATAATAATTATAAATCTTTTTAGCTTTATGTTAATCGAAATGTCATTCATCCACTGACGTTTATGAGATGTTCAACGATACATATTATAGATTGCTCACCCATCTATAAAAAAATTATGAAAAGCGGGTTGCAATGTGCCTTTCCTAGTGCTCACTAAATAGAGCCGTTCTAGCCCAAATGTGTTTTAAAATAAAATTTCAGCATTTTAATCTTTAGAAAAAGAAAATAATTAAAGTTTTACTTCAAGACATGTCATTATGTATTTGGAAAATTGAGTTTTCATGTAGTTAAATAATATTAAGAGATCTAAACAATTTTTATAACAGATGGATATAAATAATTTTAGACTACTATTTCAGAAACAATTTTACATAAAATACATAATTGCAATATGTAATACAATTTTGAAAAGGTAATGTAAACAATTTTGATATGAGGTATAAACAACTTTGGTAAGAGTTGTAATTGGACACTTATCTATTATTCTGAATAATGTTTAATGGTAATGTCACTAAAAAAATTTACAAAAATCACTGGATTTTTAATATTTTAAAGTTTGTTACAATCTCTTTTGACAGTAATTGCAATGTATTATTTATGATTTGTTTATTTTAATAATAAATGAGAAATAGTTAATAAATTGTAAAGAGGGCCGTGATATTTTTGTCAAATTGGACATTCTTATTTCATAATCTACATTAGTTTTAATCAACAGAATAAACCATTATCTGTAAAATTATATTTATATAAAATGTTCATTTAAATATGTAACAATCTTAATGACAAGAAAACACTAAAGATTCTAATATCTAAACCGGTTCTGTAAATGATTTCTTTACAACTAAGTGCTCAAAATTGATACAAGCTAGATAAAAAGAAAACTTTGCCCAGTGAAATACGCTTTTCGTCGTCTGATTTACATATGGATAAGCAATCTTTGTAATTATGTATATCATTGGGTGTGAGGCATAATTGTGCTCTGTGGAAATTTATAAAATTTCTTTACTATCGAATGAAATCCAGGTTTCCAAAGTGATGTGTTTGTACATCCACGGATGCAACAAGTTTTTTCGATATTGATATTACGAAAATAATTCGACTTCATTTTATTAATAATTATTAAACAATAAATGCCGTATAAAACATTAATAAATACCCCCCATAAAGTTCACATTTTTGTCACCAGTTAGCGTTAAAGTCATGACGCACGGTCCCTCCTTAAGTTGGCAACGCATCCTATAGGATACATCAAAAGTATGCTAATATCACATACTTTGATTACTATACGGTGCAAGAGAGAGGTCCGACACGCCCAACATAGGGCGCGGCCATTTTGATTCCTATGCCACAGTTTATAGTTAAAGAATCAGATCGCTCACTCTGCGTCAGCACTTTTGATCTCAATGTTCCAGTTTATACACTGTGCAACTCGGATAATACAATATATGACAACCGCCTATAATAAAACAGCAGTCTTCTGGGTATCCTGAATTTGTATCCCTGGAGTGGATGTTATTTTGGAACTTTCAACTGGTCCGAGTGATCTAACTGATTCTTTAGCAATAAACTGTGACTCCAAAAATAATATTCACTGACACTGACAGCAGCAAGCAAAATATTAGGTGCGTTTTAATCATCCGCTTCTGCTTCCGGAATTGTCCGTTTAGTCGTTTTAACCTGTCAGACTAAAACAAGAAAACCGACAATTCCGAAGCAGAAGTGGATGATTAAAACGCACCTATTAAAAATATTGCGCCAAGATGTAGGCAACACGTAATAAGGGATCAAAATGGCGGAGTTTTCTATCTCCTTTTAAAAGGCACTCAGAAAGCTGCGCAGTGCGATCATTCTTTGTCAAAGTATGTGGTCATAGCACTGAGATACGCCACTTCTATAAATATCGTTCCATTTATGCAAATTATATGAATGGAACGATATTTTCAGAAATGGCGTAGCTCAGTGCTATACTTTCGATGCAAAGGAAAATACCTATAATATGTGTGAGTTATTAACATCGTTTAAAAAGAAGAAGAAAAAGAAAATGTCATAAGTGACAAATGTATTTCATTCTAAATTGACAAATTTTAGTGTAAATCTCAAATTTTTTATGTAAATCATTTTCATTTTACACCGCAAAATTATCAGTGAATAAAATAAAATAGAAGGAATCAAAATGCCGATAGAACTAATTCCTGTGAACCTTAAACCAAAGCATATGGGAGCTCCTCCCGCCAAAAAATTAAATTTTAACCCCAATTTTCGATTAGATCATTTCTACAATTATAAAACAGAAAGAATATGTCGGATGCCTCCTTTTCGCTACAAATTAGGAGGAATGAAAAGTGTCTATACTCCTTCTCCGGATGCATCAGTATATGAGAAAAGGGATAAATACTACTACATACCACCAACTAAAGTTAGTATGGTAGACAAAGGTCGAATGAAAGAAGTGGATGACTTCTACACAGTTTGTCAACTACATCGTGATCAGTATAGAGATGACACCGGTACCTTACATGCTATGAAATACTTTGCTCCATCCGAATACGTTTATCAGTGTCCTCCGGATCCAACAACTCGTTATCTGTCTTATCCTGAATACCACGTAAAATATAAGCAACCTTATACTCTGCCAGTTACCATGGATAGATCTTTTAAATCTCCATTACTGCCAGATAGAGCACTAACGGGTGTTTTTAGCCCCTCTAGCGATATTGTATGGTATTAAATTTGGTATCAAAATAGTTTACTTGTTTTTATTTGCATTAAGTAGTTGTTTCTTCCATCATTTTTCGCATAAATATATTAATATCCGAGTTAGATATACACTGTATCCCAAATTCAAGTCTCTGTATTTATCTCGCCTAATATAGAAGGTCGGTTAAATGGATGTTTTAAAAAAATTGACATTTCAAAAAAGTAAAAATATACAATTTATTTTTTAATGGTTTACATTTAATTTGACATATTTCAAAGTCTTTTTAATGGAGAATATGTACAAAAGTTTCTTTCAAAACTTTAAATAATAAATTAACAACATTTTACACTGGTTTCGTTACGTTGATGACGTACTGGCTTTTACCTTAGGTAATGCTGATGATGCAGAACTTCTCTTGACCGAACTTACTAGCTTACAACCTTCAATCAAATTCACATTAAATTTTTATTTTTAATTATATTAACTTAAGTTCAGTTAAGTGTTGTTTATAAAACTGAAATTAGTGATAAAAAGACGCCTATCAATGTCTTAAATTTTCTTATGTTATCGATGGATAATAATGCAAGCTTCTCTTTTATAACTTTTTTATTTTACAAAGTCAGAAGAATAATGACAATCAATAATTAATTTTTTAAAACATCCGTCGTCGTCTTGACTCCCACACGTAAGATGTAAGTAGCACCTAGGGTGGTGCACATAGGGTGGTGTATATAGGATGGTGTACAACCTTATTTTTACCATTCGACCATCCTGATGTTGTTTTGTCCTCAAAACGTGCTTATTCTACAAACAAACAGAAAAGGAAAAACATTAGTAACATTTTAACCACTAAAGTCAACAATGTAGTCTTTGAATCTTGCTGGAGGTCTTCTGTTTCTGCTTGGTCGTCTATCTTCATTTTGCAATCCTGTTTGAATTTCTTTTTCTGGTATGTAGTCTAAATCTGTTGTATAGTCGTCATCTGAATCGTATTCGTCAATTACTTTGTATTGTTTATCTTCTTCTATATCGCCTTTGTGCCTTTCTTCACCTTCACTGTCATCTTCACCACTATTGTCGTCTTCAATAGAGTTTTGATATCTTTTCAAGTGAGATACATGGGCATTCGTACAGAAAACTCTACTTATATCCGCCTTATCTAAACTTTCTACTTTATAGATATCTTTTTCTATTTTTTTAATAATTACCAAGGGTCCTCTGTACTTAGGTTGAGTTTTTGTTGGCTCTCCCGTATTTTCTGTTACTCTTTTCATCACCACAATATCTCCAACCTCATAATTTTCGAAGTATTTCTTTTTGTCATAATGTTTTTTGTATTTCTCTTGTATCGTTATCATTCTATTTCTCGCTTCTTCACGAATATCCTCTGGTTTTTGATAACTTTCTTTTGAAAGCGCGTACGCCAGCTTTGCATCTTCAAATTTAGGTGTATATCCAAAAAGGCATTTAAATGGAGTTTTTCCTGTAGTTCCATTAATTGTATTATTTAAATGTCTTTCAACGTCTTTCATATTCTTATCCCAGTTTTCTTCATTTTCCATGGAAGTCTTAATTACTGACAATAAAGACTTATTCACAACTTCTACTTGGCCATTGGCTTGTGCCCATCGACTAGCTATAAGATTGTGATGAATTCCCTTTTCTTTACAGTAATTTTCAAATTCATTCCCTGTAAAAGCTGTGCCTCTATCAGTAACTACTATTCTTGGTATACCAAATTTTTGTATAAAATGATTAAACATTATTACAGTTTCCTTGCTAGTAACTGTTTTAACAGCAAATAATTGCACAAATTTTGTTATGGAGTCAATGATAACCAAAACATAAGAGTTACCTTTATCACTCCGAAGAAATGGACCTAAATGATCTACATGTACTCGTTTCATAGGTCTACTGGGTAGAGGAATTGGATGTAGTTCTCCAGGCTGCCTTCCACCGGGTGATTTCTGCATGAGACATTCAAAACAGCCATTGATATGTCTTCTAACATATCTTCTCATGCCCTTAAACCAGCAAGTTCCTAGTATTTTTGAAACTGTGCGGTCTACTGAGAAATGTCCAGCCAGATCATGATATTTTACCACAACTGACTTTCTCATTTTATCCGGTATTACATAAAGATGTCGCTCTTTCTTATCTATGGTTACCTTCTTAAGCAGTCTTCCTTTTTTTAAAATATAGTCTATTGTTTTATTCTTCTCTTCTTTTGATAGATCATCAAAATTTTTGTTCAGTATTTCTATTATTTTTTTAAGATCTTCATCGTTTCTCTGAATCATTAGAATTTTATCCTCTTCATCTAATACTACAAAGACTCCAAATTTTCTTTCTACTAAGTCATCAAGGAATTCGCTATTTTCATCTTCTACAGGAGCTCTGCTAAGTGCGTCGATATGGTGCATCTCGCTTTCAGGTCTATGCTTTATACTAAAATTATAATCCATTAATGTAGCATACCATCTGGCTATCTGTGGATTTGCAGATCTTTTAGAATTCAAATATATTAATGCTTGGCAATCTGTAACAATTACAAAATGAATACCCATCAACATTAACTTTAGTCGTTCTACTGACCACACTATAGCCATCAATTCGATTTTGTATGAGTGATAGTGTTGTTCAGTTTGAGTATTTTTCTTAGATACACAGTATACTAGGTGTAATTTACCGTCTTTGTCCTCCTGAAGAAGCATACCATCAATACCAACAGCACTACCATCTGTGTGTAGCTCAGTCTTTGCGTTTCTATCAAAAAGTTTCAATACAGGTGCATCCGATAACTTACTTTTCAATAATGTGAAAGCTTCTTCTTCTCTGATACCCCAGCTAAAACTGAAATTCTTTTTAGTTAAATCAGTTATAGGTTTAGCTAACAAAGCATATTTTGGTATGAATCTTCTAAAGAAACCAGTCAGACCTAAAAATCTCCCAACATCATGAACGTTTGTAGGTCTAGGAAAATTATCTATGGCTCTCATTTTTTGTTCACCTGGTTTAATGCCATTTTCTGACAAAATGAAACCCAAATATGAGACTTGGTTACTGCTAAAAACACATTTCTTGATATTTAATGTCAAATTGGCCTTTCTTAAGGCTTCAAAAACTTGACGAAGTCTACTTATCATTTCAGTCCAATTTTTAGCAGGAACTAAGATATCATCTAAATAACACATACAAATTTTACCTCTCAACTCTCCTAAGACTAAATTCATCATTCTTACAAATTCATAGGGTGCGTTAGTCAGTCCAAATATCATCCTGGTGAATTGTCCCGTTTCGTCTGGAGTTATGAAAGCTGTTTTTTCTTGAGCTTCTTCCGTGAGAGGAACTTGAAGATATCCACTGGCTAGATCTAAAGTAGTAAACAAGCAACAGCCAGCTAAACCATCAAACTGCTCATCTATCTGAGGAATAGGAAAATTCATTTTAATAGTTTGATCGTTAAGTTTTCTAAAATCTACAACCAGGCGTTTGTCACCATTCTTTTTGGCAATCAAAAATACCGGACTAGCATAACTGGAATTAGTTTCTTTAACAATGCCAGTTTCCTTCCATTTGCGTACTATTTTACCAATTTCTTCGCGATTTTGTGGGGTACACTTATAAGGTTTGGCCCTAACCGGAACATTATTATCAACAATGTTCATCTTGATAACGTCCGTACAACCAAGTTCACAAATGTCTATAGCAAAAATGTCTCTAAATTCATTTACTAAGTCTAGCAATATTTTCGCGTTTTTGTTGGAAGTTTCGGTACTCACATTCAACAAATCTCGTGTAATTATATTATTTTTTACTAGTTGATTAAAATTTACTTTTTCTTCGTTATCTATTTCCACTATTAATTGTCCTTGTTCGAATGAAACTGTTTTATCTGTAGCATTAACTAAACAAATGTGGTAATTATCACCTTTGAAGAAACTATTATTAAAACCGACATTGCCTTTTAAAATTAAAGTCTTTGAATCATTTCGAACAATATCTCGCATGGGTTTTTTAAAAATGTTCAAATTGCAAAACGGAAAATTAATTGATTTCCTAGTCTGTAATATGCGATATTATCCCGTTCCGTAAATGTTCGGCCTAAAAGAACATCGATGATTTGAGCGTCATCTGGTACCACAAATAACTCTACGTCATATACCGACAGTTCGTCAAGAGTAATTTTAAGCGTTACCTTATGTGTACAAGTAATTCCGGCATTCCCCTGTCCAAAACCAAACAAATTACATTTTGTGTCAAACAAACTAAATTGAACTTATCGACAAATGATTTTTTAATGGTACATACAGCACTTCCGGTGTCTATCAAAGCTGAAAGTTCAAAGGAGTCATTAATTAAAATAAGTTTTAAAAACTTTTGAATGGCATCTGCTCTGCTATCTGGGTCAGTATCCACAACAGTCTGCACAACCGACGGAACTGCAATTCCTATAGTAGGATTCGAAGTTTCTGAAGAGTTTCGCATTCTTTTTGGACAATGTCTTCTTACATGCCCTGGCTCCTTGCAGAAGTAACAGTGAAATAACTTTCCGGATGTTGGCGCTTTGTTAATGGAAGACGTCGCTATAGAGACAGCATTCTCACTACCACGAACTTGTAAACCGGAATCTGTCGATATTGCACCTCTGCTATTATCTGTAGATCCGCTCCGAAAAGGTGTCGGATACTGCTTAGCCTGAAGATGAATTCTGTCAAACTCATGGATACTATGTAGCAAATCATCAAAATCTTCATGATACGCCGCTAGTAAACCTGGGATTATCTGCTTATTGTTTAGACCAGTGACCACCTGCTCTTTAATTTCAGAAAATTCTAAGTTTAATTCTCGGCATAGTTTAACTTTATGGTGAAAGTAAGAAAATAGGGAATTTTTACCTTGAGTGGTCTTTTCCATTTCCCTCCAAATTTCTGTCTTACTTTGTCTCAGGCTGAATGTTTTTTTGAATCGTCTTTTGAACTGTTCGTAGTTTTCAATGAACTCAGCGTTACTCTTATACCACAGTTTGG